TGAAAAAAAAATCATCTTTTTACAAGGTTTTATTAGCTTTATTCACGCGCCATCATGTTAGTACAGCTAAATGAAACGATAATTTCATAAAAAATATCATGAAAATACTGAAACATAAAACCAGCAGTGGAATGACTGAATTGATATCACCTGACCTGAGCTAGATAAAGGTCAATGTACGCGCGAACACAAATTCGCGCGGCCCGCAACTAGCGGGCCATCCCACAATATAATAATTTACAACACGTGTCTAAATACCTAACTTATCTACTTAACCTACTATTTTGCCACTGTGCTTATCTCCACGTAGCCACTTTAATCCGAATTTACAGGTTAAATAACCCAAATAACTGGTTCGATTCCCCGCTAATGAAGAAATACTTAAATGAAATGTAACCAAGGTTGGAGTCATGCGTTTTTATTCATCGTGTAGGTATGTTTATTATTCTCATGTATTCAGTTATGTACCTATTCAGATTAGTCTAGTACTAAGTTATTTAAAAAAAAAAATAGTTATGAAACAGCTTACTGCTCTAAATCCTCCGTGGTCTTATGAGATGCGGCTCAAATTGAGCTCCATTCATTTCAAGGCAGATTTGGGTGCAGGCGGGGCATCATCGTGTGGTCTTCGACACAGTCCGTACGTAGTTTCTCGAAAGCATCCACGATCCTTTGGCGCATTTCTTCAGCACTATCACATTCACGATTAAAAACCCTTTCTTTCACATACCCCACAAAAAGAAGTCTAACGGAGTCAGATCTGGTGAGCGAGGTGGGCAAGCGTGTGGTCCTAGTCTGCCGATCCAGCGATCATCAAATAGCTCATTGAGGCGCTCACGGACGAACCTCACGAAATGTGGAGGGGCACCATCATGTTGGAACTATGTGCGGCGATATTCAGCCAACGATAGGTCGTTTAAAATGTCAACCAACTGTTCATTTATAAAGTTTAGGTATCGCTGTCCGTTCAGTCGCTCTGGCAGAAACACTGGTCCCAGTATGCGATCCTTAAATAAACCTGGCCATACGTTAACCGACCATCGGGTTTGGTGCCCGGTTTGTCGAACAGCGTGCGGGTTAACCTCTGAATACACGTGTGTATTTCTTCGGTTCCACAGGCCGTTTCTGGTAAATGTCGACTCATCCGTCCAGATAATGTGCTCAATGGAACCAGGCACACGTTGTTGCTGGTATAATAACCAACGGCAGAAAACTCGTCGGCGGTCGTGATCGCCGGGAACTAAAGCTTGCACTTTGTGCAATTTGTATGGGCGCATCCGGTTACGCTTCAACACTTTGTGCACTGCACAGTATGACACACTTGTTCCATCCCGACGTCTTAACAATTTATTTAGCGATACTTCGTGTACCTAGGTTCGGATACCTAACATGTTGACCACTATAAACGTACGCGTTATGCATTATTAAAACAAAAAAGAATCCAAAAACGTAACAAAAACTTTAATATCAACACGTAATCACAAGTAAATTTATTAAACAAAACGATTGAACTGTCGCTCGCGCACGCGTGTACAAAATCAACACGGAACTGTCTCAAAAACTAAAACGAACGAACCCCGTCAAGGCTGAAACCTACTGCGTCACAAGCGTGAGGCGACAGGGTTAGGCATTCTGCCGTCATAATAAAAAAGGAAGTAACTAACAAAAACGTAAAATGGAAATAAAAAATAAATTGATGAATTTTTCTTTCAGACCCCGTGTCTAAAGTATATTAAAAGGTATCTATATTGAAATATATACGTAGAGACATGAAGATTTTAAGGACGAACTTATTTTTTTTTTAAATTTGTTTATTTATTTAAATAAAACGAATTTTCCTTTTCATCTTAGATTAAAAAAGTACACCTGGCAACACAAAAACATCGAAGGAAAGACGCATATAACTATTTGGGTCTTCCCAACCTAATAAATAAAACAAAACTACCATTCATTTAACATTTTTACATATTTTGGAAAGGTCATTTGAAGTTGAAAGGACGCTAATAGTAATTTACTACTTTTTTCTTAGTAAATATTAGAAAAGCATTGGTAGTGAGACACAAAAAATAACAACCCGCAACTCTTGAGTAATGATTTTAAAGGGGATATCATACAAGACTTACTACGATAATAATTAAAAATTAAAACATTTGTACAATCGACTTTAATATAAATAATTAAGGATAACTCAAAAACTATTGGTCTGACCTCGATCAAATTTATATGGGACCACATGTGAAACACCAGCTCTTAATAATAAGATATGAGCTCTTAATAATAAGATATAAAATAATAAGACAAGAATAATTTAAATTTAAGTAATCGATGCAAATATTGTTAAAGATGACGTAGCAACTGGTTAAATAAGTCTTTTCTTTTATGTTGAATTTGTATAAGTTTTTTCTACTAATAAAATGTCATCTGTGATCAACAGCTACGTCTAAAATTCTGACGATAATTTCTAAAATATTGATATTAGTGAATATTAAAAAAATTTAGTAGATGCGTCTTCTTATCATGAGTCGAATGGTAATTTATTCGAAAATTGTTAGATGCGCCCTTTTTTCTTATGACCGCAGCATTGTTTCATACCGAGCTAGATACAGGTCGACAGCGGAGTGAGTGTGGGTACAGTCGCGTTCTAAAGTACTACATGGTATTGGGCTATTGTTTTATAATATTATAGTAATTAATTGTTTTATTGTAGAATCATAATAGGTGTTTTACTAGCTACTTAGAACTTTGGAAGAGGTGGGAATTAAAAATAGATAATGTTTACTTGAGCATTGTTTGTTATTTCTATCGTAAAATATACAGTAGTTTGTAACAAAAAAACTTAAGCTAAGGGTGACACGCCGTCCATTATGACGTCTTGGGTCACATGGAAGCCAGATGTTGATGGTGTGTTGGTGTTACTGGATGCTACTTCATCATCACTTTCATCTTCGCTTGATCTTCCGTCATCAGGTCGATCACATGGTAATTTTTTCGGTATTCTTCCTCAACAATTTTAACTTTACTGCACAATTTTCCCCATTCACCTTCTCCTATCATATTTACCTTTTCGTTCACTAGTTTAGTCATAAAACAATAGATATAATATAAATAAATTTTTTTCCTTCCTTTTTAAAACATCGTCGCGAGTCGCAAAGTAAGCTGTGTATGCGACTGTATTTTTGGAGCGAACAAAGCGCGGGAACCAATAGCATGCAGGCACAGTAATACTGGCCAATATGTGATAAATCGCTCAGTGCCCAAGTTCAAGGCCAGCGTTCTTTTTTCACCGTTCGCGCGTACATTAACCTCCATTAGTCAGGTGATATCAATTCAGTTTCCACTGCTGGTTTTATGTTTCAGTATTTTCATGATTTTTTTTATGAAATTATCGTTTCATTTAGCTGTACTAACATGATGGCGCGTGAATAAAGTCCGAACATTCTATTTAACTACCGTCATCATTATGGTGATGCATAACGGCGCTCATAGAAAATGGCGATGTTAACAATCACAGAACACTATTACTCCTACGGTTGACAATAGAGTTACTCTATTGTCAACATCGCCATTTTATCATCACTCTATTAGAGTACCTGTTGAGTGTTGACATTTTATCAAAAATGGCGCCAAACTTTTTTCGCGAAACGTCGTAAGAGGGAGCCTGTTCCCATACATTTTACGGCGGCTCTTCACGTTGGCCAACACACTGGCGAATGTGTTGGCAGAGATATTGGCCGAGAATTTGTGATCGCGTCCACACGTTGGAAGGTCGTTCAGTTTGCTTTGGTTCAGGCCAATGTGCGGACGAACTTATTAAAATGATTATTGATGCGCTAACGGCTGCTGCGGTGTATTTATTCACAGCATACCACTATTTTTTTATTAAATTTCCACTATTTTTAATATTTAATATTTTTAATATAAATTTTTAATATTTCTTTATTATACGCTAACGTTATACAGATAAGTAAACTATATAAATATTAACACACCTAGGCATAGGTTTAATTAACACTTTTACAACTAAGGCCTGAAAAATATTCGAAGCCTGTCTATGAAACTGTTGTAAAATTTTATTAAACAAAACCTTTTTAAAAAGGGTTATTCTTATTATATAATTATAGAATAAAACTTAATAATAATAATAAATAATTTATTTCACCAAACATTAAAGTTACATTATACGATCAGTGATCGAGGTCACCTAGTAAGCAAAATAATGCCTGTGTGTGTGTGTGTGTGTGATCAAAAAGAAATGAAAAAAAGAAATTTTATGTCTTGACGGCTCCGTGGCGTAGTGGCTTAGCAATGAGTTGCTGCCCTGGGGGCCGCGGGTTTGAATCCAGCACGGAACAAGTATTTGTATAGCCTGCACATAATTTCTCCGGGTCTGGATGTTTGTCCTTATGCAATTTATGTTTCTAAACTGCCTCCACGATACAGGAGAAAATCCTAGTGTATAATAACATTTTTTTTTTAAAAAGACTTGTGTTTTACAAACAATTTTCGGCTTGGTAGGGCTCTATAATGCGAAAAGTTTTTTCATTGGTCATTGTTACTGCCGTTATGTAGACACTAGTTACGATGCGTGCATATAAAATTTAAATCAGGTGCGTGCAATCACTCTGGGAGCTCGTAGCAAACTGAACGTGCGCCCAACGTGTGGACGCGGTGGCCAATACTCTGCCACAACCCTTTGATCTTTTGTAAAAAACCGACACTAGACGGATCTCGCGCCAACTTGTGGGCCATCGTTCCAATACGAACCAACTTAGCTTAAACACCCACTCTCCACGATGTCCATCGTTGTTGGCCAATACATTCGCCAGTATGTTGGCCAACGTGTAGAGCCGCCGTTAGACTTCAAATTTTTACTACCAACTTTCCTCCCCCTGGAGTAAAGTATTCTGTGATTCAAAGAATACTTATCTCAAACTAGGCTCAGAAGGGCTAGAACCCAGAGCCGTAAAGCCAGTTTAAAAAAATTATCTTCAACTCAAACTAGAGATTATAATGTACTCTGTGCTAGAGATCCTAATTAAATAAATTGTATTAATGTATTTCACAGAACAAGAACACTAATACCCTTAGGCGGGATGTATTTACGCTTAGTTTTTTGCCATACTAATAATATTTATGAATCTAAAAAATCTTTAATACCTTCTATACAAAACAATAAGATAATGAATATCTAAGCTTTAAGCTCTACGTTTATGTCGTACTCTTGATTGTAATTTATTTAATTACTAAGACATAAAAAATATAAACATATTATTCAAGTTTGTAGTGCTCAATGGTTTATCCTTGGATTTTACTCAGGTTAGTCCTGCATTGAAGCAATTATAATAAAATATATTTGGAATAAATTTTCACGTTCTCGTATTCTTGAGAATTTTCAAAGTTGTGTAAATTTATTTGTTAAACAAGCTTTTCTTAACTTTTATTGTTTACTGACATGAATATGTGAAAAAAATATTTACTTTATCAACTGTGATAATCAGTTGTCATATTAGTAAATATTATTCTATTATTGTGAAAGTTTATATACGTTAGATATAATCATAATTGTTTTTATTGGTTTTATATTTTACATAAGCCTCCATTTACCTACAGCAATTGAAGGCCAGTTCAAAATTTACAGTTTTTCGTTTAGATTCTAAGAATGGCCTCATTTTAGACCTTGTGATACTGTTGACCTCAACTGTGTGTAGCTATTTAGTATATTTAGTATTTTCCACAAGTTATACAGATTAAACGTTGTGGGAATAAACCTTCAGAACAATCCAGTTTAGCTTTATAGAATTACTATGATTATAAGAGAGAGATTGGTACGACTTTCCATTGACGTCAGTGGAGTTTGGTGTTGATACGTATTTTTACAGAAACATTACACTATTATAAGCACACACACAATGTCTCAATATACGGAAACGCGTAATTTTGGAGAAAAGAATAATTGAAAATCAATTATTCTTGCAATGTTTATGTCTAATCTGCTAATAAACTGGCGCCATTTTGTAATGTCATTGTCGACGTCAATAGGGATGTCGATTCTTTCCGAAAAAGGTCGATTTTTAAATCGATTCAAATCGTAAGCTGATGTATCGATTCCTAAAAAATCGATTTCTAAATTATCGATTTTTTTTTCATGTTTACATTTATAATTAATTTTTTATAAATAATTAATAATTTTATGAGAAAAAAATCCCCTTCATCATAAAAAATAAGGGGACTGATTCATACGGATTTCTGTATTTATTTTGAGACTGCTACGTCTCCGGCGCTGCGGGAAGAGCAACCTCTACGCCTTAGCGTAACAAATCGCAGGCATCGGACGAGCCGGAGCGGCTGAGGCTGGTCGCCGAAGGCGACCAACAAGCCGAAGCTGCGGAGGCGAGTTGGTCGCCTTCGGCGACCAGCCTCAGCCGCTCCGGCTCGTCCGATGCCTACGATTTGTTACAGCAGGCGGAGGCTGCTCCCCCTACGCGCCTCCGGCTCTATAAAACCACTCTAGGGGTAGGACAGACTCGTACCAGGTGGAGTCGGGGTCAATCAATTCGGTTCTTTGACATAAGTTGAACCTAACCTATTTTATTTATCTGCCCTAATAGGTACTGTTAAATAAAACAAATTTCAATAAGAGATCATTTATCATGATATCTTTCTTGTTTTTCATAAAATGGGTTTATATTTACATTATAAATAGAAACATTAAAAAAATATAGACATTTTAGAAATCGATTTTTTGTGAACCGATACATCAGCTTACGATTTGAATCGATTTAAAAATCGACCTTTTTCGGAAAGAATCGACATCCCTATTGACGTCGACAATGACATTACAAAATGGCGCCAGTTTATTAGCAAATTAGACGTAAACATTGCAAGAATAATTGATTTTCAATTATTCTTTTCTCCAAAATTACGCGTTTCCGTATATTGAGACATTGTGTGTGTGCTTATAATAGTGTAATGTTTCTGTAAAAATACGTATCAACACCAAACTCCACTGACGTCAATGGAAAGCTAAGCCGAGAGATTCCAACAAAAAGCTATTGTAACCAATAACCATAAAAGATAGCAAAAAAAAAAATGTTCTGCTGCTTTATCTGTGCATAGAATAAGAGTTACTAAAACAGCAAAATTTTCTTTTATCTTTTATCTTCTTTTACTTATTTAAAAACATGTTATCTCCACACTAGGATTTTATTTTGTATTGCAGGGGCAGTTTACATACATAAATTTCACATGGATGAACATCCAGACCAGAAACATTTGTAGGCCATACAGATACTTGTTGGGGTTTTAACCAGTGGCCCTTAGCATTGCAACACATTACTAAGCCACTGTATCACAGAATTGCCAAATTAGTATAATTTGAGGAATGTCAGGAGAAAATCTGGCAGTCGGGCAAGAAGTAGATTGTGGAAACCCATCTGGCTATACTTAACCCTTTCACCGCCATCGCTGTAATATTACGAATTATACGGTGAATACCGTCAGCGCTACTCACTTAATATTCCGAAATGCTCATGTTGCTAATGCAAAAACTGCGAGGTTAATTCCATTTTGCTATTACATTTAATATATTTAATTAATTGTGGACAGTTGTAGATAAAATGTCAAAAAACAACAGAAATATATAGTGTTACTAAGTGCAAGATGAAATTAAACACCTTGGTGTCTCGCCATCCCCGTGATATTTCTGAAACCAGTGCTGCGCCACTGTAAAAGATCTATCAAATTTATATTTTTATTGTTTCAAAATTAAAATGATAGTCAAGTCATCATAATGTAATTTTTTTATGAACTGAACTAAACATTCATAAAAATTTAATTTCATATATTATTATTTAAATGAGTTTTGTGATAAGAAATAAGTTTATGAAAAATATTAATTTATTAACCAAACAACCCAAATGTAAAATTGAATTATCCCGGTACGTCATTAGTGCATTCGAGTTGAGAATGCCAGTACCGTGATTTCATGTGTGGCTCAATGTCAAGTACAGTGACATTTCTTCACAAACTAAATTTTTAGGAATTATCATTGATGACGAACTGAACTGGAAGGCACAGGTCGATAGTGTTTGCAGTAAATTATATAAATTTTCATACGCCTTGTACAGGTTAAATAAAAGAGCAAATACGCAAACACTTCGTATAGCATATTTTGGATACGTTGAATCAACACTTAGGTATGGTGTTATGTTTTGGGGAAACTCAGTGGATCGGGAAAAGGTATTCAAAGCTCAAAAAAAGTGCATTCGAGCAATCAAAAATCTACACTGGACAGACAGCTGTAAACCACATTTTAAAGAGCTGCAAATTCTAACTTTTCCCTGTCTTTTTATCTATGAGACGGCTGTGTTTGTTTATAGAAACCTATCATTGTTTGAAAATTTAAATAATAAAAGGTATCCCCTAAGATTAAAAGTTCAACAATCAAAGTCAGTAAAAATGCGAAAAAGTATATTTTGCCTATCCATACCCATCTATAATAAAATACCCAATGATATAAAGAAAATAAATAATATACAAACCTTCAAAAAATCATTAAAAACATTATTAATTAATAAATCTTACTATTCTATTAATGAATATCTTAATGACATAGAAATTACATAATTATAATATTTGTATTTGATTTGACATACCATGTATTATATATTTGACATATTACATATTGATAACCCGATGACATCGACATTTTTAATTTGTATTTTTTTTTAATATATATAGTTTATTTCGTGACATTAGCTTAAGATGCAGTATTTATTTTTGACTCGTGTATTTAACAATAGTAATAATAATTTGAAAAGATGACATTTTTATTTACTTCAGTTTCTTTTTTTTTCTCAATATAGACGTAAAGGCGCCATTACGAAATGTGTTATTTGTCATGGGTATCATTGCACGATGCTTTTCATTTTTGAATATTTAATACTACATACACATATGATTATGGTTTTTTTATAATGTGCAATCAATTTTAAAAATATTACTTTTGCTTCTATTGACAATATCGTAATGAATATTTGTACACCACACTGTGGTAGAATACACGATACCTAATGTAAATTTTACGAACACCTAACTTACTGTATTCACAAATAAATAAATGAATTTGAATTTGAATTTCAATAAATTGTCAATTACTGTGGTGCTGTAACCGTGATAACACTTGTGTACCGTATTTATTTGCATTTGTAGTGTTGGAAATTATTGATAATGCTAGACGAAGAAGAACTGTTAAATAATTTAGAATCAAATAATGATATTCATAGTGAAAATGTTTTTCATCTACAGACAGTGATATTGAATCGGTAAGTAAATATTCATGTAAAATAAATAGTCAGGTATTGAGAAACTTACACTACATTTATATTTGCTTAATTTATACATTTTTACAGGAATATGAAGAATCTTCTAGTATATTAGTAGTAGTTCTGATCACTGTGGACAAGTAGTTTCGTTACCTTATGTTCACAAAAAGCAAGTAGATGAGAAAGTTGTGTCTGTTCCAGTAAATGCACGTCGCTTGGAGAAATTTAGAAGTAACATAGTGAAAAAACTTCCATCACTTTCATACCAAAATGATCCTAATTTAATGTATGGAACATTATTTAAGCTTATTTGTAATGAATTTAATAATACTTTTACTTCTAAAACATTCTCCTTGAACAGTCGGAAGTCATTCAATGAATGGGCGACAGTAGGAGTCCATAAGAGCAGGCATAGGTTATATGATCTTTACCATGAAAGGTCATATAATCATAGCGTCGAATTTAGGGAATATGTAAAAAAATATTCAAAAATATTTAAAAGAGTGTGCTCCATAGCCAAGTCTTTGCATTTGAGCAACAAAATTAAGACGGCTTCCAATAAAATTAAAATGACATGGAGTATAATTAATAGCGAAACTGGTAAGATCAACTCTCGCAATTCTAATTACCAGTTAAGTGTTAACAACAAATTAACTGTATCAGATCAGGACGTAGCAATGGTTTTTGAGAAATATTTTACTGATATTCCGATCTTGACCACTAAGTCACTGAATTCTTCTCCTGCCGTCGCCGAATCATTACTTAAACAAAATGTAAATGTGTGTACAAAGAATTTTACATTTCATAAAGTGTCATCAAAAGATATTGTAAAATATTTTAAAACTATTGATGTTAAGAAAACTGCGGATCTGTGGGGGATTTCCGTTAAAGTTATTGCGTCTATAATAGATACAATCGCGCCTCATTTAGCTATTATTTTTAATACTAGTATCGAATCTGGTGTGTTTCCTGATTTAATGAAGCATAGTAAAGTAATACCTTTATTTAAATCTGGTAGTACATTAGACCCCGCCAATTTTAGACCTATTTCTGTACTACCAACACTTAGTAAGATTTTTGAAAAAATTGTTCTTGTTCAAATGTTAAATTTTTTTAATATAAATAATTTACTTCATAAAAATCAATTTGGTTTCACAAGGGGTCGCTCGACAACTGATGCCGGTGTTGAGCTGATTAAATATATCTTTAATGCATGGGAGAATTCACAGGATGCTTTGGGTATATTTTGTGACCTATCCAAGGCCTTCGATTGTGTTCACCATGAAACATTAATCAGGAAACTTCAACACTACGGTGTAAGAAGTGATGCCCTTAAATTAATTATTTCATATTTAAGTAAGAGAACGCAAAAAGTTGTCATTAACAATATGAGCTCTTCCGGATCGATGGTACAAATGGGCGTGCCTCAAGGCTCAATTCTCGGCCCCTTTCTGTTTCTTGTATACATTAATGACTTACCTTACATAGTAGGGGATAACCATGATATAGTATTATTTGCAGATGACACTTCTTTAATTTTCAAATTAAGTCGACAGTTACTAAAATATGACGAAGTAAATAATGCTATCTCTAAATTAGTAAATTGGTTCGATGTTAATAATTTGCATTTAAATGGCACTAAAACAAAATGTATGAAATTCGTGACTCCAAATGTCAAACAATTAAATACTAATGTAATTTTAAATGGGGAGAAACTGAGTCTTGTAGATACCACCATTTTTCTTGGAATCACACTAGACGCGAAGCTTCAATGGAGCCCACATATATCAAAACTAGCAAGCAGACTTAGTTCTGCAGCATATGCTGTAAAAAAGATTAGAAGTTTAACCAGTGTTGAAACAGCTAGACTAGTTTACTTCAGCTACTTCCATAGCATAATGTCGTATGGTATTTTGCTATGGGAACACGCAGCTGACACTGAAATTATATTTGTTTTGCAGAAGAGGGCCATAAGAGCAATTTATGATTTAAAGCCTAAAGAGACGCTGCGACAAAAATTTAAGGAAATTAATATATTAACTTTGGCCTCTCAATACATTTATGAAAATGTAATGTACGTACACAAAAATAAAAGTAGTTTTACAAAAATAAGTGATATTCATTCTGTAAATACTAGGAACAGACACAAGCTAGTAGTACCAGTTACTCGACTCCATCGAGTCAGTAATTCATTCTTGGGGCGATGTATACGCTTTTACAACAAAATTCCAGAAAATATACAAAGTTTGACCTGTTCAAAGTTCAAAAACTTTATTAAACTAAGTTTGTATAAAAAGGGTTATTATAATATTAAGGAATTTATGGATGATAATAACCCCTGGAAATGAGGTGATCGCTACCAAGCTATTTCTAATTTGTTGTGTTGTTAATTTGTGTAACATCATGATTGTAAGCTGTTATTTAAAAAAAAAAGTCCCGCTGGGTTTCTTGCTGGTTCTTCCCAGGACAGAGGTTTTTTCCGAACCAGTGGTAATCAAACAAAAGAGTGACTTTCAATAAGTATTATTTATAATCTATATTGAATAAAAAAGTTTCTGTTTCTGTTTCTGTTTCTGTTTCTATGGAGTAGAATCATCATGTCACAAAGTGATGAATCGCCGCCGTTATCACCATCTATTCGACCGAAAAATAAAATGAGAAGAAAAATTTCCATTAGTAGATCAACGCAGACCAAAAATCATTACATATGCTATGTGAAATCGGAAGAAGATGACTACATGCCCTATATAAGTTTGCCTGCTTCAAGATTCTTTAATCAAAGAATCAACGTACCAAAAAGCTCAAAATGAGCATTTTGGTACATTAATTGCATTTGAAATGGAGTCAGTCCTATACGAGATTCGATCGCAAGTGTATATGGACATAATAAATTTGATATGTCACGCTAGGGAAGGAGCTATATTAGATCAAGGTCCATGCCCATCTCCTGAATATTGATTAGTTTTATGAAGAGAATTAACGCTGATTAAGTGCAATGTGATTAATGAAAATGAAGACTGATTAAAGCTAGTGATAATACCCAATAAGAAAAATGTTATATTGATTAAAATAAATAATAATCTATCATTTTTACAACTTTGTTTCATATATCGATAAATGGTTGTTCCAACACTATGCAAAATATTAAACAAAAGTTCCTGACACTGGAGACACTCCACGTCAACTAAAGTGCGGCGGTGAAAGGGTTAAGTTATGTGGAACAATGATTGATAAGATGGAAGTAGTAGTACTCTTTGATTTCACAGTGGTATGTGAAGTATGGTATTTTACACTATCTTTGAGTTATTTTGTAACTATGTTCTGACTGCAAAATGGAACTCGAGAATCATTAAGTGAACATTCTCCATTGTTGTTGCATCTGTTGTATTATTTGATTGGGAGCTACAATTAAAGATTTAGAAAAGTGAATTTTGAGCCACCCATTACATGGAGTGACAACCTAGTAAGACATTCACACAATCGATGGTTGCAGAGGGCTCAGGACTGTGTTTTGTGGACTGTGACTTGTAAAGTGCATTAATGATGATGGTAATAATAAATAGGCGAGGATATTTTGTATTTCTTACCAACATTAGCCTTTGTCAAGAAAATTAATTAGGGGTTGAGTTTTTTTCTTGTTATCTACAAGTTATCATGTAATGTGGCAAACAACACAGTCCACCTGATGGTAAATAGATGCTGGAGCCCATTGAGGTAGGGTAACAATTATCTTAGATGTAGTGACGAACTGGTAAGACATGTAGGAACTCAATGGATGCAGGTGGCTCAGGACCGTGCTTTGTGGCATTCCTTGGGGGAGGCCTATGTTTAGCAGTGGACTGGTGAAGGGCTGTAATGATGATGATGATGATATACAATTACCCTCAATTTAGTATCAAAACAGAAATGTCACTCCAGAAGCTGAATATGGTATACCTCATAACCACTAAAACAGTTAGTCTTCTTTTCCCTTCCAAGGAAAAAAGCTTAGGCATCATGCTTAAATCTATGTTGGCTAAAAGTTATCCTACTATAATCTAGAATGTAAGCTCGCGTATTTTAATTTTTGAGCCATTTTTTTTCTTTTAGTGCTAGCAGTGTAAAGTATGATATCAGAGGATAGTGTTGAAAAACGCCATGAACCACCCGGTTTTAATTCTCGCTCCCTCAGCGTCGCCCATACTGCAGCCGATCTGGAGGTAATTTTCATCCATTTACTTTATTTACTTAATGACTTTGTTTTTTTTATGAAATTTATCATTAACTACTCTTGGTAAGCTTCACAACGATAGTTGTGTGGTGGATTCCGACCCAGGGTCTTTACTTTTCTGGTCAGCACTCTGCATATTACAAATGCATATTTCACAAATGCAGATAAGTGACAGTAATTGAGACTGATAGTAAATGGCTGCTACATCCCATGGACATACATCACTGCTGGCCGTATGAGGAAGTTCAAGGTCGCTCAGCGAGCTATGGAGGGGGCTATACTTGGGGTTTCTCTGCGTGATAAACTTAGAAATGAGGATATCCGCAGTAGAACCAGAGTGACCGACATAGCCCAACGGATTAGTAAGCTGAAGTGGCAATAGGCTGGCCATATAGCTCGAAGAACCGACAACCGATGGGGAAAAAAGGTTCTCGAGTGGCAGCCTCGTATAGGTAGGCGAGGTGTAGGGCGAACCAATACTCGATGGAGTGACGACCTGGTAAGACATGCAGGAAGTCGATGAATGCAGGTGGCTCAGGTCCAGGCTTTGTGGCATTCCTTGGGGGAGGCCTATGTTCAGCAGTGGACCTGTGA